CACAGAAATAACGATGGCAACGAAAGATAGCAGCACCATAGCACAAAGGTGGCAAAGGCTTAAAGGAATTTTAAAAACTGAATAAAATGACCCAGTTAGAAACAGTTAATATGAGGCCTTAAAAGCAAAATTCCCAACATGATTTCTTCTAGGTAAGGAGCATATGAAATTTATTATAAATCACGAAGGGGCCAGCAACACGACCCTGTGGAAAACAGCACTTGCCACCAAGCCTGACGATATTAATTTAATTCTTAGGACCGACGTTAAGGGATAAAACAAACAAACAAACAAAAACCCGGCCTTCTTGCAAGTTGGCCTCTGACCTCCGTTTGTGCAGTGTGGCACACACAGCGGCACTACCCTCCCAAATATATAAAACAATAGCATTGAGCCCTACATAATTGGGCTCTTTGGCTAGTGATTGGATCAGATTCTAAGTCTAAAAAAATCACTTCATAATAACTTATGACGATTTTTTTTATGTCCCCTCACATACCCAGACAGAGTCTTTCTGCAGCTTGGTTGCTCTGTAACGCCTATGAAGATCAGCTGGCCTTGAACTCGGAGATCTGCTTACCTGTACCTCTGCCTCCCAGTGCTGGGGTTAAAGAAGTGTGTTAAACCTGCACCTTCTCTGTTAATGTTGCCATGCAAATGAACTTCACATAGGAAATAACTGTTACAAAGTTTAAGCTGGCTTTCTGTTTCAGCTTGACGGTGTTATCTGTCTGCACTCTTTGGTTTCTTTTTGTACCTTTCTCCACGGCTTTTGCCTCTCTCTTTCCCTGTTTCTCTCTCTCAGTCTGTCTCTGTCTCTCTGTCTCTCTGTCTCTGTGTGTGTCTCTCCATTTCTCTCTGTCTCTGTCTCCCTCCCTCTTGCTATCTCTGGGTGGACTAGGATGTTCTGGCATCGGGTGTCTCCCTGGCTGTGAATTCCTGTGTGTCACAACAGCTGGCTGCATCCTCTTAGGTAAAGTAGGGATTTCATGACATTCTCATCTGGAGATGTTTTGCCAAGGCAGATACAGTTTAAAAACCTCCAAAATTAAGGAAGATTTTCCTCCTTCCATCTAACCATTCTTTCAAGCTGTTAAGTTAAACAGCAACAAATCAAGAAATCCAATTTAAAACTGGGGTACAGAGCTAAACAGAGAATTCTCAATAGAGGAATATCGAATGGTAGAGAAACAAAGAAATGTTCAACATCATTAGTCATCAGGGAAATGCAAATCAAAATGACCCTGAGATTTCACCTTATACCCATCAGAATGGCTAAGATCAAAAACTCAAGTGACAAAAGATCAAAAACTCAAGTGACAACACATGCTGGAGAGGTTGTGGAGAAAGGGGAACTCTCCTCCACTGATGGTGGGAATGTAAACTTGTACAACCACTCTGGAAACCAATCTGGCCCTTTCTCAGACAACTAGGAATAGCGCTTCCTCAAGATCCAGCTATACCACACCTAGGCATATATCCAAAAGAGGCTCGAGTACACAATAAGGACATTAGCTCAACCACGTTTGTAGCAGCTTTATTTGTAATAGCCAGAAGCTGGAAACAACCCAGATGCCCCTCAGTTGAGGAATGGATACAGAAATTGTGGTATATCTACAAAATGGAATATTACTCCACAATAAAAAAACAAGGATATCATGAAATTTGCAGGTAAATGATGGAAACTAGAAAAGATCATCCTGAGTGGGCTATCCCAGAAGCAGAATATACACACAGTATATACTCACTCATATAGACATATAACATAGGATAAACCTACTAAAATCTGTACACCTAAAGAAACTAATCAAGAGGGAGGACTCTTGCTAAAATGCTCAATCCCTATCCAGAAAGGCAAAGAGGATGGACATCAGAAGAAGGAGAAAACAGGGAACAAGTCAGGAACCTGACATAGAGGGCCTCTGAAAGGCTCTGCTCTGCAGACTATCAAAGCAGATGCTGAGACTTATGGTCAACCTTTGGGCAGAGTGCAGGGAATCTTATGAAAGAAGTGGGAAATAGTAAGATCTGGAGATGACAGGAACTCCACAAGGAGAGCAATAGAACCAAAAAATCTGAGCAAATCTGAGCACAGGGGTCTTTCCTGAGACTGATACTCCAACCAAGGACCATGCATGGAGATAACCTAGAACCCCTGTACAGATGTGGCCCATGGCAGTTCAGCATCCAAGTGGGTTCCATAGTTGTGGGAACAGGGACTGTCTCTGACATGAACTGATTGGCCTACTCTTTAATCACTTCCCCCTGAGGGGGGAGCAGCCTTACCAGGCCACAGAAGAAGACAATGCAGCCACTCCTGATGAGACCTAATTGACTAGGATCAGAAGGAAGGAAAAGACCTCCCCTATCAGTGGACTTGGGGAGGGGCATGGGTGGAAAAGGGGGAGGAAGGGAGGTATTGGGAGTGGAGGAGGGAGGGAACTACAGGGGGGATACAAAGTGAATAATGTGTAATTAATAAAGGATTTTTTTTAAAAAAAGAATGTCAACTAATCTGCTACAAATGGCAGCATGCCTTGTATTGTGTTCTCACAGATCTAACTGTCTTTGAACTAAATCTTGCCTGTTTCGAAATATTTTAAAGCCATTTGCTCATATAAAACAGTAGAGTAAACTGTACTTTAGATGTTAAGGTTTTTTACTCACAAATAGTTATTTATATATACATTTCCAATGTCAATTTACTTAAAGTTTGTCTTTATTACCAGGAGGGTTGAGAAGTCCTTATTACCAGGAGGGTTGAGAAGAAAAATAGTGTTCTAGTTTTATTCTGTCATTGTGAAAAATGCTATAATCAAAGCAACTTAGGGTGTGACAAATTTGTTTGACTTACAGGTCACAGTCTACCATTGAGGGGAATAATGGTAATAACTCAAGTAGGAACTTGAAATAGAAATCATAGAGAAGGACTTCTTCCCATATCTCTCACAAACCCACACTTAGCTGTCCTTCTTATAAAGCTCAGGAGCACCTGCCTCGGGCCTAGGGAATGGTGCTGCCAACAGTGGGTGTCAGTTTAAAATCCAGACTGTTCCCCACAGACATGCCTATGAGCTAATCTGCTTAGAAGGTCCTTTAATTGATACTCCTTCTTAGGTGACTCTGTGCTTAGCTGACAGTTAAAACTAATAACTAAAAGCAATAATTAGTTAATAATTAATAATTTCTGAAACTGAGATAAACTGCAAAAGGCCACAGAACTAAATGATTTATGAAAAGTAACTTTTAATAAATACAGGCAATTATTGGTAAAATTCTCATATTGTAAGATGTAAATGACCATATTCACATATTATAAATATTTATCAACAATACATCTTCTCCCACTATAGAGAATTAGTGATGGCAGCACCATATTGACCAGACTATCATGTAACAGGGACTCTAGAAATGTTCACTGAATTTAATTTGCTACTTAAAATATTCACATTTAATGATCACTATTATACAACTTTGTTTTGACCTATAATATTATTGTTGTAAAGAACCAGGTCAGTAGATAATTTAAACCAAACATAACAAACAAACAAGCAAACAAACAAAGCCCCTAAAAGCCTTTTGCAGTGTGGACTTTATAATTTTAATAAAGAAGAGTTGAGACACTTAGACGGTAAGCTTTGGAAGGCGGAAAGGGAGGGAGAAATTTCTGGGTAAATATCCAACGGAAATACATTACCTTAAAGTAGTATCTTCATGATGGATATTTGTATATGTAGATACAGATGTATAGACTAGAATAGAATTCTCCATGAAAGAAATTTAGCATTTGCATCAGCATGGCTAAACCATGAGGACATTATGCTATCTGTAGAATATAACTATACAGAATCTAAAAATGTTAAATTATTTTTAATTTTTATGAAATTGGTACAACTTTTATTTTATGTGTGTTTTTCCTGCGTATGTGCATTACTTGCATTCCTGGTGCCCACAGGAGTCAGAAGAGGGCATTAATCCCCCGGAAATGGAATTACAGATAGATGTGAACTACCACTCGTTGGCTGAAACACTAACCCAGTTCCTCTGGAAGAGCAGAAAGTGCTCTTAAATGCTGAGACATCTTTCCGGATACAAAATATTAAGTTCTTAAAAATAAAGATAGATAGTTAGTTACCAAGTACTGAAGGGTGGGAGGTGTTGATTAAAACATACGAACTTTCAAAGTTAGAGAAGAACAAGCCAGAAGTCACAATGTTTTGCATGGTCAGTATAAGTTCTCTGCATGCTTTAGACTTTATGGGGCAGGTGGGTCTTGAGTGTTGGTAGCACATCAGGCCCTTGTGTGGGGTGAGGCCCAGTCATTAGCTTGACTGTGGCTGTAATTTAACAATGTGTGTGTGTGTAGAATGTCATTACTCCTGTGCAGTTTTAACCTACACATGTTCATAGATTTAAAAATTAAATTATAGTAGACTTACATCATTGAACACCTTTCCTTTGGTCCTTAAAATCACTCCCACCTTCTATGTACTTTTTAACTTAATAAACTTGGGGCCCAGGAAATCAACTACTCCCTAACTCTAGATATTTTGTTTTGTTTTCAGTTTGTGGCTCCTTATTTCTTTTAAATATGTAAATCGGTTGAGTAATTCATTAGAAAGAAAAACATACTTTAAAAAATATGATTGTTTTCTATTTCCTATAGTTTTCCTTCACATGAATTAATTGCTAAATCCATCGAATTCTTCACTTACTTCCCAGCAGACCAATACAATCACATTTATCTAGAATTTGTTAGTCATACTAAAAACCTTACTGCACTATTTATTTTATTGATATTTGTTGATTTTATTTGTCATTTTTGATCCATTAATGTACATTGCTTGTTTAAAACAGAGAAAAATGTTTCTGTTTTAATCATTAATGCTGCATAAATTAGGATCCTGACTTACTTCTGACAGTAACTTTTAGGACAAAAGCTATAAACTGTCTCTGGTTACATAATCTTCATGTGATCTCCCTTTTTTCTTCCTCTCAAGGTCATGGGCAGTGTAACTGTGGGAGATGTGACTGCAGAGCAGGCTGGCATGGAAAGAAGTGTGAGCACCCCAGATCATGCCCGTTGTCGGCTGAGGAGAGTGCCAGGAAGTGCCAGGGTGGCTCCAGTCTGCCTTGTTCTGGAAGGGGTGAGTGAAGCCACCTATTGTGCACCATACTTAGAACATTGATGAAATCTCTGAAAAGTGAAAAAAGAAAATGTTGCTTTTCCAGAATTGGTAAACTACGCCCTGATCAGGAAAAGTACCTGGACAAAGAAAAGCTGTCTTTTTCTTTCTGTCTCTTCTCTCTCCATTGTGGACACACACACACACACACACACACACACACACACACACACGAACACACATTTTCTCTACTTCAGCTTGCTCAATTTCAGTTTAGGTTCATTCATTTCAATATATTAAAAATAGCAAAAGCACAGTTCACAGGTTTAAAGCTTTCTGAACTTGAGGATCTAATTGCCACTGACATTTATGAAATCCAATACCATTATTTGTTGGGTATTGTTCACTGGGAAAAGCACTGCATAAACATGCATGAATAAACACTTCTTTGGAAGACATTTAGCCTCAGGTGTGTTTGTGCTCTCAGATCAGGAAAAAAAAAATCAGGATAAGAAAAAACTCATCTGGAAGAACATTTTTTTGATCTAGCAAAATAAGAAATATGCATTCATTCCTCAGTTGAAAATAGCAAAGTCAACCTGACACGTGCTTTTGGAAGAACTGGGTGTAGAAGCTACTGGAAATATTGCTCAAGTATCTTCAGGACTGGCTGCAAAGTCCTCCTCTGTGGCCTAACAGGACTGCTCCTCCCTTGGGGGGTGGAAGGTCAAAGAGCCAGCCATTGAGTTCCTGTTAGAAATAGTCCTTGTTCCCCTTACTATGAAAAACCAATTGGTTACTGAGCTACCACGGGCTACATCCTAGCATTGGTTCTAGGTTATATCCATACATGGTCCTTGGTTGAATGTCAGTCTCAGAAAAGACCCTGTGCCCAGATATATTTGGTCCTTGTGGAGCTCCTATCCTTTCCCCATCATACTAACTCCCCTTCTTTCATATGATTCCCTGTACTCTGCCAAAGGTTTGGTTATGAGTCTTTGTATCTGCTTTGAAAACACTGCTAGTTAGAGTCTTTCAGATGCGCTCAGTAGACTCCTGTCATACATTCAATGCACATCCCATCTGTCTTTCTAAATGAGGATTGATCATCTTACCCCATGTCAGTGGACTTGGAAAGGGGCAGGGTGGAGATGAGGGAGGGAGGGTGGGATTGGGAGGGAATGAGGGAGCGGGATACAGCTGGGATACAGAGTTAATAAAATGTAACTGATAAGAAAAAATAAAATAAAAAAAAGAAAGAAATATTGCTCAAAACAGAACAAGGACAGGTACTTGAATTTTAGATGAAACAATGTGATTTTCTGCAATGTTTCTTTTTCGTGTGCTTTATTTATTAAGATATAATTCATAGAGTACAAAGTTTAGCCTTTTAATGTTTAAAGCCATGGCATTTTAAATATCACAGAATGATGCACTTATGACTATTAATTCGACACATTTTTCTGAGTTGGCTAGTGGAGTGTGGGTAGGAGGGCTTTAATGTCAGAGACACTTCTGATTACCCTGCCTTCCACCAATGATCGGACAGGAGAGTCTTCTCCACCAAATGTCAAATATTCTCAGGCGGTACTGAGTAAGCCTGTCCAAGTTTCGAGGTTTGAAGTAGAACTATCCCTCAGACAACCGCCACCTACACGTGCGGTCTGCAGCAAGTACTGAGATGACCTCACCATCTTCTCCCATCAAAGTTTCAGCGTTGTGCTCTCAAGAGGAGTGAACATGGGAGGCTAACCCCGGCACTGTTGCTGCTACTTATTCTAAAATGTTTATATTTTATGCCTTAATTATAATGATGGAGATGATTTTAAATAAAAAACCTTGACAGATTTTTTTTTTTAAAGCTTCATATCAAAATAGATTTTCTTTCTGGGAACCCTTTTCCAGGTGCTTTCACTTTAGAAAAGTTACTATTTTTTTGCTATTGCCATAAAGTCTCAAGCAAGGGAAGGAGTGTGTTGAAAACTTAAAGAATTAAGAAAAGAGATGCACATTATGTAAGGTCATCAATATATAAAATAATTTTTATTACTAGCAGAAGTAAATAGAACACTAACAAACAAAAACCTGGAAAATCTAATAATATATTCATATTTAAAATTAAAATGACAAAGTATATAATTGGAAAATAATAAAACCTCCTGAATTATTTTTCACACCTCAAAATTCACTTCAAATTTATGCATCTACTGATGGTGTTTTGTTTGTCTAGACTCAAATACACAGAACAAGTACAAGAAGGTTATTGTGGAATTATATGTCAATCTTTAATAAACTATGAGTAATTTTGGTTTCTAATACATATTGTTTTTTCATGTTTCTTAAGGATCACTGTTTAACTATGATTTTTTGAGGAATAGAATATATAAAATACATTGCACCTAGGATATTGAATATGTATGTATAACTTGACTAACCCATAAATTTGCCAAAGCTTCTAGAAGCACTGTAGAAATAAATAATGCGCATCACCAGTTTCCTTAAGAGAACGGAGGTATTGGTGGGAGTATTTTCCTCCATGGGAGTTTGAGAATGAAACTCAAGCTGCGCCAGCCCATTCAGCGTTTGAATCAGTAGTGAGCGTGCTCCACTTTCCTGTGGGGAATACATCTGTGGTTGCGGCTGGGATCTCATATGAAAGCTTTTACGGGGCTAGTTTTGCAGTTTTGAATGAATACCCACCACAGCTGTGATAACAAGAGTGAAGAAAACAATTACAAGCACCATCAGTTCTCAAGCCTGAGCGCCTCATCAGCCCACCAACTGGGCAAGAACAGTCCTGCTAGAATGTTCCACAGGCGCAGGTGTGTCCTGCTGAAAATTAAAATTTTATTACTTGATTTTGATAGTGATTGAGTAAGTGTCTCAAGAACTGAATAGATCAGAGGATCTTTAAATTCTCTTTGCAGTCCACAGTTTCTTGATTTCCAGTTCCTATTGCCTCTAGATATCATTTTTTTTTCAACTAGATGTATACCCTGCAGTTGATATAAGCTTATTCATCTTGGTTTCTGCTTCTCAGCTGCAGTGAGACGTCACCTTTGAATTTATTACATCTGTGTCTTTATAGAAAGTAAAAGCAGCTTAAGATTTTTAAGCTACACATTAGCTTTAAAATCTTCTCTAGTTAGAAGTGCATTTTGTCATTATTGAGGTCCTCTTGTGTATGATACTCTTTTTATTCAAAACCTAAGGGCAAAATTAACACTATTCCTTTCAAGTAGAAGCTTTGAAAGGCATGGACGTAATTGTAATTTTCTCCCTCCCTGCTTATGTGCTAGCGACAGACACTGGTTTCTCACCTTGGGTCTCAGAGTGAGAGTGTTTAGCAGTCAGCTCTGCTGATCCTCCCATGGAGTGCAATGTGGATGAAAATTTGAATTGTTTAAGTAACTGATGGCATGTTTGTTACTGTATCTAAACTCCTACCCAATACAGTTTTCTCCAATTAAACATTAGGAAGTACAACTAAGCCAAAATTAACAATCAGAACAATTTCACATACACCTAAAATACTTTGATGTTCAAATACTTATTATTTATAACTTGATGTGTTTTATCAGAAGCAAAATCTAAATAAAGTAATTATAATTATGTAAAATTACTTGAATAGTGAAAGTGCTAAAACTACTAAGTTCATTTGCATTGTAATTTTTCTAAAACACAATAGGAAGAAATATAACTATTCTGCTTGACAGTAAGTGAAGTGAAAAGTTGAAATTTGAAGTGTTTACTTTATATACTAGAGTTTATAGTTTATATAGTAGAGTATATAGTTTGCTTGTTTATATAGTAAGTTCCATGCCTGCGGATGCCATGTAACCTCTTAATGCAGTGCCCTAAACTCCAGAGCTGGAGTTTAAAATAGTTTAGTCCACCCTCATATCCCTCTGTGTCTCCTTTCATACTTTATTCCCTCTCTTCAAACATTATCTCTGTCTAGTCTACTTCCCCTTCTGAGTGAGATTTAAGCATCCTCCCTTGGAATCTCCTTGTTGCTTATCTTCTTAGGGTCTGTGAATAGTTGTATGTTTGTCCTGTATTATTTGGCTAAAATCCACTTGTAAGTGAGCATATACCTTGTGTGTCTTTATGGGTCTGGAATACCTAACTTGGTATGATTTTTTTTTCTAGTTTCATTCATTTGCCTGCAGATTTCATGACTTCTTTGTTTTTAATAGTGCCGTAGTATTCCACTGGGTAAATGTACCCCAGTTTCTGTATCTGTTCTGTTGAGGGATAGCTAATTGTTTTCTGGTTATAAGTATTATGAATAAAGCTGCTATGAAATTAGTTGAGCAAATGTCCTTGTGGTATGGTGGAGCATCTTTTGCATAGATACCCAGGAGCAGTATAGCTGGGTTTTGGAATAGCGCTATTCCCAATATTCAGAGAAAGCTCCAGATTGATTTTCAAAGTGGTTGTACAAGTTTACACTCCCACCAGCAATGGAGGAGGGTTCCTCTTTCTCCACATTCTCTCCAGCATGTGTGTCACTTGAGTTTTTGATCTTGGCCATTCTGATGGGTGTAAGATGGAACCTCAGAGATGTTTTAATTTGCATTTCTCTGATGGCTAAGGACATTGAGCATTTCTTTAAGTGCTTTTTGGCTGTTGGAGATTCCTCTGTTGAGAGTTCTCTGTTCTGTTTATGCCCCATTTTTTAGAATAAATTTTATAAACTTTTATTAAAATATTTATCATCAATGTTCAGTACATTGGGTAGTGATAAACCAGGGTAATTACTATAACAATCCTTAAGTCTTCATCAGATTTTATGATGAGAACATTGAGAAATCTCTCTTCTACTAATTTTCCATACATACAATGCATTTCTGTTTATACATGTATAAATGAACTTTCAAACATCTTAACTGATTTAAAAAATGATAGTGTTCTTATGCTCTATTTTCACCTCTCCTACTGTTTCCTTAAGTCTTTGGCAATTGTAGTCTGTTCTTCATTTCTGTGTGATCAGTTTTGCTAGATTCTCTCAACATAGA